AAAAGGGGAGGAGGAAGACGTTCTGACCTGTTGGTCTCTCTCAAGACGAGAAAGACGATGCAAGGCATCGTCATGCAAGCGGCCCATCACAGCAATCTGTACGAGAGAGAGAGAGGAGGGAGGAGGAGCGTTAGGAGGACGAGGGGGAGGAAGAGGAGGAAAACAGGTGGAGGACGAGGGAGAGAAGGGAGGGGAACGTAAATGGGTCAGACTCATTCAGCCAAGGCTGAGCAGAGGAAAAAAGCAGGGATAGAGAAGGAAGGAGAAAACAAACGAAGGCAGGGACAAAACAAGGAAGCGAGAAAAAGGAAATGGTAGGAGGAAAGGAATCGATGAATTTTTTCATGGAAGAGGAGGAAGAGGGGGAGGAGGAGGGAGGAAAGAGGGGGGGGGAGGAGGTAGAGGGGGAGGCAGGAAGGAGAGAGGGAAGAGGGACGAGAGGGACGAGAGAGGGGGAAGGAGGAGGGGGGAAGGAGGAGGAGGCAGGAAAAGGATGAAGGATGAGAGATGATCAGACCTGCTGTTGGAGGCCGAAGATGACCTCGTTGTTGGTGAAGATCGTCTTGTCCCACTCGGTCATCAGCTCCACCTGCCGGGAGAACTCGTGCGAGTATTCTTCGAGGTCCTTGTGCCACGTCTGCAGGATCTTCTGGACCTCGTCCTCCTCTCTGATCTGTGTGGAGAATGAGGGATCGGTGAGCTAGGAGTGGAGCAGGATAAGAGAGGAAGGTGAAGGTGAAGGTGAAACGCGACTAGGAGGAAGGAAGGAGGGTGGGAGGGAAGCGAGGCAAAGTAAGGAGGAGAGGACGGAAGGGGGCGAGCAGGGGAAGAAGGACTGAAGAGGAGGGGAGGAGGACCGAAGAGGAGGAGAGGACAGTGGAGGAGGAGGAAGGGAAAGAGGACAGAGGAGGGGGAAGGAGGACAGAGGAGGATCTGAACACCTGCACGCCATCATGCAGCGAAGACTTGGGCGAGCTCGCTAGTCCTTCAAGTCCCGTCATTCGATCCTGCGCTGGCTCAAGCACTTCACCTGTAGCAGGGGAGGAGGAGGATGCGGCTGCGGCGCTTCCTCCAAAGCCGAAGGAGGAGGCTGCAAGGACGGTGAGGAAGTGGTTGGAGGGCAGCACTGAAGACGTGCCTGCAGATGAAGCAGCGGAGGAGCTGGACCCTATCCCAAACCCTGAGAAGAACGTGAGGAACAAGAAGAAAGTGCGAGGAGATGGAGAAGATGAGGACAAGACGATGAGAAGAAAGAGGAAGAGCAGAGGAGGAGGAGAGCGAGGTGGTGGTGGAGGTGGTGGAGGAGGTGGAGACAGAGAGAGAGAGGTGGTGATGGTGCTGGTGGCTCTCTGGCAGTACCTGCAGCGGCTGTCGAGGAAGCGCTGGAACTTCCGAAACCGAAACCTGCGAGACTTGAGGAGAGAACGACCTTTGCTGGTGCACCTGAGGATGCAGCGGGTGCAGGACCTGCTGCTGCTGCTGCTCCGCTCGTCGCTGTGCAGCTTCTCAGAGGGATGAAATGAAAGCTAGAGGAGGAGGGAGGAGATAGAGGTGAGGAGACAGGTAAGTAGCAGGGAGCGATGGATGCGATGACGGTGAGGGAGGAGGAGGTGCAAAGAACGAAGAGACCAGAGCAGATCGACGAGGAGGAAACACATAGAAAGGGAGGGATGGAAGGAAGAATTGGACGGATGAATACCAGAAGAAGAAGAGGCGCCGAAGGAAGGAGCAGCAGCCGAAGCACCAGCAGGCTTCCCGAAGCCAAACCCTCCTGATTTACCACAGGAGGGTGAGCAGAAAAATCCACGATGACCACAAGGAGGAGAAGGGGGGGTTGGGTTCAGATAGAGGGAGGGAGAGGAAGAAGGAGGGTAAGAGTGAAGAGGAAGAGAAGAGGGAGAGCGACAGGCGGGAGCGGATAGGCTGGGCTCGACGAGAGGAGATAAGGGGAGGGAAACTATCAACCGCCAGTTGCTGCAGACGTCGATGCAGCGGAAGATACTCCAAAGGATCCAAAACCTAGTGGCAGGAGCTATGAAAAACAACCCTCCCGGCCGCCCTCTTCCTCCACCTGCTGCTGATGCCCCCGCTGTCGATGCCGAGGAGGAGCCCAAGGTTGGTGCAGAGGAGGAGGCAGAGGCTGCTAAAAGCATCAGACAAGGTCAGGCCCTCCTCCTCCTCCTCACCCCCAAAGCCAAAGGAGGAGGAGCTGCCCGCTGCTGACGACGCTTGTCCGAACGATGCAGCTCCTGTAGAACTTGTCGAGCCGAAGCCGAAGCCTCCAGAGGGTGCCGCTGCTCCTGTAGACCCTCCTCCTGCTGCTCCTGTAGACCCGAAGCCGAAGCCTCCTCCCGTCGACCCTCCTCCTCCTGCTGCTCCTGTAGACCCGAAGCCGAAGCCTCCTCCCGTCGACCCTCCTGCTGCTGCTCCTGTAGACCCGAAGCCGAAGCCTCCTCCCGTCGACCCTCCTCCTGCTGCTGCTCCTGTAGACCCGAAGCCGAAGCCTCCTCCCGTCGACCCTCCTCCTGCTGCTGCTCCTGTAGACCCGAAGCCGAAGCCTCCTCCCGTCGACCCTCCTCCTGCTGCTGCTCCTGTAGAGCCGAAGCCGAAGCCTCCTCCCGTCGACCCTCCTGCTGCTGCTCCTGTAGACCCCGAAGCCCGAAGCCTCCTCCCGTCGACCCTCCTGCTGCTGCTCCTGTAGACCCGAAGCCGAAGCCTCCTCCCGTCGACCCTCCTCCTGCTGCTGCTCCTGTAGACCCGAAGCCGAAGCCTCCTCCCGTCGATCCCCCTCCTGCACCAAAAGAAAAGCCACCTCCTGTCCCAGGAGCAGAGGAGCCAAATGAAGAGGAAAAGGAAAATCCAGACATGCCTGACGAGACGTGCGAAGCTCTAAAGCAGAAGTTTACCGATTACCTGCAATCAACACAAATCCTTTCAGACGTGCGCAAGCCCTCGACATAATGCTGTATTCTTCTATCTTCTCTTGCGTTCAATGCTATCCTTACATGCCCTGCTCGCAATACCTCTTTCCTCACTCGACCCCTGGTGATGGGACCGCTTCTCCCTCCCTCCCTCCCCTCCCTCCCTCCCTCTTCCGCTCTTTCCTCCTGTGCTTCCTCTGTCTCCTCCTCTCCTCCTTCACTTCGCTCTGGGATCCTCTTACCTCGAACAGCCTGCATAGCCCGTGCACAACAGCGCTAGACGGAGAATATACAGGGGTGGAAGAAGCAAAGGGTGGGGTTATGACCTGTAGGGTGGTGATGGAAAACAATAGAGTACCCATGTATTCCCAAGAAAATCCTAATCTTTTTTGAATAACATAAAGGGGTGGTGGGTAGGGGGTATGAACAGGTAGGGTAGTGGAGATGGTATAGGTGGGACCATGTAGATGAGGCCCGCAAGATGTCGGGGGGATGAGAGCGGCGGCATGTCTGGCGATGATGGTTGGATGGGCCGCCATGGCAGGAGGAGCAGGAGCAGGAGCAGGAGCAGGAGCAGGAGCAGGAGCAGGAGCCAGACTAGGTGTCAGGAATCTGCGGGGTGGCGGAAGTCCTTCCAGCAATCTTTCCTTGCAAGCGGGAGGATACGTGCTGGGAGGCTCGAGATCAGCAGTTACGATACGGGAAAGCGCTTCTCGATACCGGGGCGCTCTCGATGCAGAAAGACGAGAGGAGAGATCGCAAGGTGACGGAGAGAGGATGATCAACGTCAGCGAGGCGTCGCCGTCCATGCTGGCCTTCCTTGCGATTCAGCGGCGAATCAACACGACGGCAGCTTCGTCGCCCAAGTCCGAGCGCCGAGGTGCCGCCATGCTCAATGCATCGACAGGCTCCTTCAGGCGCAAGCGGGAGCGGGAGGTCTCCTGGGGCAATGACCTCGCTTGCTCGGTACGGGTCAAGAGGATGCGGAGGTTTGGGAGGTACGAGAACAAGGTCAGCTCAAGGCGCCCGCGCATCAACAAGGGGCTGCCGAGGCGGATCTGGTCCAAGGTTCTACATAGGACGCGATGCTCGCACGTGGACGAGGAGAGCAAGGTGCAGTGCGACAAGGATCCTTGCTTCGGTATCGCCTCCGACGGGCAGGCCCTCTGGTGCAAGAAGCACGCAGACCCGTCGCATGTGGACGTGAGGAACGTACGCTGCAAGTTCCTCGGGTGCGAGAAGCATCCTGTCTTCGGGGATGCCGTCAGCGGAATGGCGAAGTACTGCGCTCTACACAAGAAGAGGTAGGGACGAGGGGAGAATAAAGGAAGCAGGAGGTTTGGCTGGGGGAGGGGGGGGGCGAGAAGAATGAGAAGGGAGGAGAAAGGAGGAGCAGGAGCAGGAGCAGGAGCAGGAGCAGGAGCGAGGAGCAGGAGC